GAATTGACTCAACAGCAACTGATTTTTTTTTATTATTACACATGTAAGAGGAGATTTTAAGGAGACAGCTCACTCCTCCCTAAAGATGCTAGCCAATAAGCTTCACTTGCAGACTCCACCCCTTCCTAGACACCACCCCTCATCTCTCTCTAGCATTTCCGGATACCCTGATCTGAATACAAATAAGAGAGTCCAGAGCCCAAGCCTAGCTGTTTGAGAGTCTAGTACCAGGGAACACTGAATTGTCAGGAGCTCTGTGTCTGTGGGTCCTGGAGCTAAGGCTCAGTAAGTAAAGATGTCTTAGTCACAGGAGGTAAACTCTGGGACTCTAAGGATAAGGTGAGCAGTGCTCTTCGGTAAGGGTGAGCAGGCTGGGGCAGAATCCACTGTGAGTGGGGCTGGGAAACAATGAGAGGATTATGAACCTGATCCTCAGGTGCTGAGAATGTTGTCTAGCTGAATCCTGGGAGTGAGAGGACGCAGGCCTCGAAGGGAGGCTCTAGAATTCAGAGTGTAGATCTCTTGGGAGGCCCAGAAACCTGGATGGGGAAACCTGGAGATCCCTGCCCTGTGGCAGGATAAAAAAATTAAAAAAAAAAAAAAACAGTTGCTGTCATAGGCGCTCCATAGGGTTTTCATGGCTGTGAACTTTCAGAAATAGATTGCCATGCCTTTCTTTCAAGGCACCTCTGGGTGGGTTCGAGCCACCAACTTTTTGGTTAGTAGTTGAGTACTTAACCATTTAAGCCACCCAGGTTCCTGTTACCATTGAGTCAATTCTGACTCATGGTGACTCCATGTGTTACAGAGTAGAACTGCTCCATAGGGTTTTCTTGGCTGTAATCTTTATGGAAGCAGATCACCAGGCCTTTCTTCTGCAGTGCCACTAGGTGGGTTTGAACCACTATCCTTTAGGAGAACCAGAAAACCATTTTGCACCCCCCAGGGACCTCCTCCACCCAGGATAGGAGGGAATAAAATGTAGGAGTGGAGGAAGCATTCATAACCTGAGTCCTGGACAGACGACTGCTGAGCTGCTGCATAAAAGGCCCTAGTTTTGGAATCAGAAGGACTTGAGTTCAAGTTCTTGTTCTTTCACTTATTAGTTGTGTGACTCTGGGCATCTCTTTGTAACCTTTTAGGGTTGCCCTGAACATTGAATTTTTTAATAGGTGTGAAAACATTTTGTAAACCATAAGATGCTGCAAATCTCTAAGATATTTTTTATTATTACTTTGCTCTCAGGGATGAGCCTGGCATCTTTAGAGGAGAATAAATGTGATTTGAGGCTTGGTGTACACCCAAGAGACAATTCTCTGCCTGAGCTAGCTTCCTACTCCTACAGCTTCAAGATGAGTTAGCTCGGCTAGGTTTCTGCTAGTCCCTGAACCCAGCTGCAGCTGTCGCTGCCGCCACCACTGCCGCCCAGTGGCTACTTTAGGAAAAGAACCCTCCTAGCATTTCTCAACCAGAAGCTAGCTTCGCTATCCTCACCCAGGCCAAAAGGAATGACTTGTGCCTTATGAAATGCTGCAGACCAGGCTCGCTCTCTTCTGTGAAACTCTTCCTCACTTTGGTTTCTGTGACTTTGCATTACTCTGGTTCTCTGATTCCTCTGGCTGTTCCTTCTGATTCCTTCCCTGTCTCCTTTTTGTCTTTCTTCCCCCAAAGCTTACCCCTCTTTTCTCCTCCTTTCTCTTCTCCTCTAGTTTTCATCTCTCTCCTCCCCACCTTCTCTCTCTTTCTCTCCCTTTCCAAGAACATCCATTCTCATGGTCTCAACTACCACTTAGAGGTTATCAATAATTCTAATGACCAATGAGACTCCAGCATAAAGAACTCTCCCTGATAAAAAATTATCTCTCCCTCTTTCACACTTTTATTGTATTGATTTTTAATGAGATTATGGCATATACCACAGACTGCCTAGAATTATCCTCATTTGTGTTTTTTGCTTATCTCCTCCCAATCCTTACCCTCACACCAGACACAGAGCTCCTTGAAGACATGCGTCTGGTTTTACCTCTGTCTTTCCCACAGCTTCCAGCTATAGTTATGATAACCAAATGTTCTAGATTTTTGAAAAATAATACATCCTATTGTCAAAAAAACAACCTTCCAATTCAGAGTTAAGAAAGTACATACCTTTCACATAGTAGGTGTTCAATAAATGTATGTTGAATGAATCAATGATTCAGTTATAGTTTGTTGAAATGACTGGTTCACACATCTAAAATCTAAGTCCTGTATATTCTGTTTGCTATAGGACATATCCACGTGAGTATCTCATTATCTGAAATTGAATATGCTAGGAAAAGTTTATTATCTTCTTTGTCCTGACAGAGATAAATAAGATATATGGATACCGTTATTGCTGATGCCTTCCTCTTCCCCTATGACTCCAGTCCTTTCCTGACTCCTCACATCTAAGATTCATAAATGTCCTAATGGCAGTTTTTCTGCAATATTTGTTGTTTCCTTGGAGCCTAAAGAAGGAAACTGGAGAAATATGGTTTCTAGTCTCTTTCTCTGAGTTAGGAAGGAAGGAAATGAGGGAGGGAAGGTAAGTGATATAGTGGAAAAAACATAGGATTTGGAGTCAGATAGACCTAGAGTTTAATTATGGTTATAGTACCTACTAGCTATGTGACTGTGGGTAAGTGTTCCTGAGCCTCCATTTCCTCATGTGTAGAATGAGGATACTATCACCTAGCTTGTCGTGAGGAGAAAATGAGGTAAGGCATATAAAGAACCTAGCATATTGTCTGGCAGTTATCATCATCATCATCATTAGAAATAAAATATAGGTGTATTTGGAGGATGAGGGAGGTTGAGGAAGTTCACCCCAATTGTCTGGGTTTGCTTCAAGAAATGAAAAAGGAAGTCACCTGCTGAGAGTAAGGTGCAGTGTAGGGTAGAACAAGTCAGTCACTCAACCTTGATGGAAAGGAGCAGTAATCTGAAACCCTGGATAATCCAAACTTACTAATAAAATCACGGGAAAGTGAGTGGCTTCACATAATTGTACCCAGGTTAACTTTATTCATGTGTCTTCTCTGTAATGTGCCCTTTTTGTCTTTCTAAATATCTGTCTTTTATCTCCAGTGAAGCTATTAACAAATTTAGGACACAGACCAGTAGTGCTTTGTCCAGCACCTAGGACAGCGTGGGAAGTCTTTGTGTCTACCATTTGATCCATATCTTTTCTATCTGCCCCCACTGAGCTAATGCCCTTGTGTAGATCCCACTTGAATCTGTTGTTATGCTTTCAGTTGCAGTAACAGAAAATTCCAACTCAGCTGACTTTAAAATGAGGAAATTGATTATCTTGCATATAAGTCCAGGGGTTGACTAATTCAGCAGTTCAACAATGTCATAAAATAATCCTGATTCTATCCAAATTTCTGATCTCCTCAGCATGTTGTTTAGCAACTCTCAACCTTATGACAGGTAGCTGCTGCAGTTCAAACATTGTATCCAAACATGGCAATATTCAATGGTAGGAGAGGAAGGCATCTCTTCCTGTGTGTTTATTTTTTATCACTCAGCAAACCTTTCCCAGAATCTCCCCCAGCACACTTTCCCTCACATCTCAGTAGCATGAATTTCATCATACCTATAGCTAACCAGAGCCCTGGTGGCGCAGTGATTAAGAACTCAGGCTGCTAACCAAAAGGTTCGAATCCACCAGCTGCTCCTTGGAAACCCTATGGGGCAGTTCTACTCTATCCTGTAGGGTCACTATGAGTCAGAATCGACTCAACGGACACAGGTTTGGTTTCTTTTTGCCAGTCACTGGCAAAGGGGATGGAATGACCATGACTGGCTTAGAGGAGCACAGAACCATGTGGAAAAGGGTGGAGTACCTGAGAAAAAATTGGGAATTCCGTCAACAAGGAAGAAGGGGAAAATGACTATTAATGTAGTAAACAATCCTGTCTGCTACAACCCCTTACTGAATAACTCACCCTTCCTCATTCAGCGATCTGATCATCAGTTCCTAACTGGAAGGCCTGGCTAGGAATATTATTGGGGTATGAAGAGTGAATGTGGGTAAGGACCTGAAAATATCTCTCTCCCACCAATCTATTTTGGGAGCTTGAAACTCCATAATTAGAGTTGCATTCCTTTGCCTTCTTACTCTTAGCTCCTTGTAAAATGCAAATACTCCTGGTCAAAATGAAACTATTGTGGTAGTTCCCTTTGGGGGACTACTAATCAGAAAAGAGCACAAGAGAACTTTGTGGGGAGATGGAAATGTTCTATATCCTGATCTGGGTGGTGGTTGCATGTATGTATAACCAGTTGCCATCAAGTCGATTCCTACTCATGGAAATCCCATGTGTGTCAGAGTAGAACTGTGCTACATAAGGTTGTCAGTGGCTAGTTTTTTGGAAGTAGATCACCAGGGCTTTCTTCCAAGGCGCCGCTGGGTGGACTCAAACTTCCAACCTTTTGGTTAACAGCCAAGCTTGTTAACCATTTGCATCATGCAAGGACTCCATGTATACATATAATGAAGTATTATTCAGCTGTAAAGAGAAATGAAGTTCTGATACATGCCACCACATGGATGAATCTTGAAAACATTATGCTAAGTGAAAGAAGACACAAAAAGACAAATATTATCCGATTCCACATAAATGAAATATCTAGAATAGGTGAGTCCATTGAGACAAAAGAAGATTAGTGGTTACCAGGGGCTGGGGAAAGAGGAGAATGGAGACTTAAGGGAAAAAAGAAATTGTACAAAATAGGCAGGGTTTTTTTTTTTTTTTTTTCCTCTCCTTATCCAGGATGGATAAGACCATGGCTGAAGAAGTATTCTTGGCAGGGGGAGAATGGGAAACACTTGATGGTGGTTGGGTATCTAAGGAGCAAATGTTACCTCACACTATGTGTGTCTGGATGATATACTGGAGTGGGGTAAAAAGAATAGGAACTAAATGACTGCATTTTCCTCCTTTCTCTCTTCCCAGAAAAGGCTCAACCTTAACTCCATGGCAAACATCTCCAAGTAAGGACTCCTTCTAATGCTCTAATTCTGTAACCTGCCCCCTACCCAAGCCCCAGTACTTGCCTTTGGGCTAGAGGGGTTTCCAGCCTCTCCCCAACTTGTGGTCTTGAACTCCTCTACCTTTGCCCCATCTCATACTCTTCAGACTTCTTCTAATCCTAGGAATATTTCCTTTCTTCTCTACTTATCTTTCTTTTCTCTCCCTTCCTCTCCTCTTCCCTCCTCTTTCAAACCCCCTCCCTATCTTCTTTTGGATTTTCTCCCCACAGGGTGTTTAAGAAGACCTACTCCAATGGGAAGGTGAGAACCTGCCCCAGCTGGTCAAGTCAGAGGGCAAAAGGGATAGATGGGTATATCCTTCAAGATCTCAGGGGCTTGGTTGGGGGCTTTAAGGGAATCCTCTTAAAGGTGATTGGGAGAATTGCATAAGAGGTTATTCTACAACAGATCTTCCATCTACCTGGGGAGACTGGACTTTGTGGACCATGTAGACATGGTAGAACCCACTAGTCAGTGATTCTAAAAATGAGAAGAGCCTGGGGAAAAGAGAATGGGGACCAGGAAATAGGAGAAAGCCAAGAAAGGACTACGCAGAAGAGGAGGAAAATTAAAGGAATGAATGAGAGGAACCATTTTAGGGATCAATTTCTGTTTCATGTCTGAGAACTTTTTCTAACCATGTCGCCCTCTCTCCACAAATGATGTAGTCCTAGTTGACCCTGATTACTTAAAAGGTCAAAAGAATAAGTAGAAATCCTTGTTGGTCTTTGTACGTGTCAGAGGTCTCACATGCCAGATAAGTAACATAAATGAGAGGATTGGACAAGTAGATCAGAGGAATATAAGAAAACTAGAAAATGGCAGGAACTATGTCCAACTGGAGAGTGACGCCTTTTTTGGTGGGAGCTGACAGTTGGGAATTTGGGCCCAGTGTGGACAAATTTTCTTATTTTTAAAGAGAAACTGGAAATGAAGCTCAGAATAATACCTCTAGAGGCCCAAAGTCTGAAAAGATTATAGTGCCCCTTCCCCAAATAATATTCATTATAAATATATTTCTAAAACATAAAATAAAATTTATTTTTCAAAATTATACAAAAATTACATGTGTGCTGAAATTGAAATAGTTTCTTTCTAAAATTTCTGATTTTCTTTAGTTGGTGGTACCCCTGCTTTGCTACAGATCTGAATATGGGCTCAGACTGCCTGTGGAATGATCCAATATGCCAGAAATCCACATTTTTATGCAAAATTTCCTGATTGACAAATGTTGATAACTAATTAAAAGCTTAAAAAAATCCTGGGTGAAACAGTTAAGAATTACTTTAGCTTGAGAAACAAAAGAAAAAAGGTGTACTAGACTTCATTAAAATTAAAAACCTTTGAACACCCTAAAGAAAGTGAAAAAACAATCCACAGTACAGGGGAAGATAGTTGCAAATCTTATACCTGACAGGAGACTAGTCCAGGATATATAAGAAACTCTTACAACTCAAGAATAAAAAGACAAATAATCTGATTTAAAAATGAGCCAAGCATTTGAAAAGACATTCATCCAAAAATAAATAAATACCGTAATGGTTAAATAAGTATATGAATAGATGCTTAACATCATTAGTCATTAGAGAAATGTAAATAAAAACCTTAATGAGATACCATTTCACATACACTAGGATGGCTATAATAAAAAAGGATGGAAAATAACAAGTGTTGGCAAAGCTGTGGAGAAAATTGAACCCTTACTCCCTACTAGTGGGGGTGTAAAATGATTGAAGCCACTTTGGAAAACAGTTTGGCAGTTCCTCAAAAAAGTCAAATTAGAGTTACCATATGACCCATGGATTCCTCTTCTAAGTATACCCAAAAGAATTGAAAATATATGTCCACACAAAATCTTATATATGAATGTCCATAACAGCATTATTCATAATAGCCAAAAGGTGGGAACAATCCAAATGCCCATCAATTGATGAATGGATAAACAAGATGTGAAACATCTATACACTGGATTATTATTCAATCACAAAAAGGAACGAAATACTGATTCATGGTACAACAAGAATGAAACTTGAATACATTAGCCAAGTGAAAGAAGCCAGATAGGCAAGGCCACATATTGTAGGATTCCATTTATATGAAATGGTCAGAGTAGGTAAATCCATAGAAACAGAAAGTATATTAGTGGCTGCCATCAGCTCAGGGAAGGGAAGAACAAGGAGTGATTGATAATGCACACAGAATTTCTTTTTGGATTTAAAACAGCAGTGATGGTTGTATACTTTTGTAAATATACTAAGAAACATCAAATTGTATACTATAAAAGGATGAATTTTATTGTATGTGAATTAAACATCAACTTTTAAAAAGCTACTCGTCTCAGACACCAAAATTTTAAAAAAATCATTTTGGGGAAAAAAAAAAGAATTACTTTAAAACAAAGATGAGAAGGTAAGGGGGCAGGGAAACTAGTTACTGGAAACAGAAAAATCAGAATGGAAATGGGACTGTTTATGCTTAGTGAAGAATGTAACTGTGACCCTAATACTCCCCAGCATATTTTCTTCTTTTCAAAACGGGCGACTGAGAGCTTGACATAACTAGCGCCATGATGAACCTATAAGTTTTTTTTCTTTTTTCTTTGCCTTCTCCTTTTCACATACCTTTGTTAATGACTTTGTTTTGCTCTGTCCAGCCACCTGTGGTTTACAACCCTCTACAGGAAGATTAGAGCCCAGATGTCAGATAAGGAAATGTCTGACTTGTATCTCTTTAGTATGATAAAGAGTCTCTTGTAATTACTTTACAATGTATAACAACACATCTAACCTTTGTAAAAAGCATATATATAAGCTCTGGCGTAAAAATGCCTTTTGGGACTCCATAGAGACAGCCTGCATTGCTGTTGGATCCCGGGTGATGTACACTTCCTTCCTACATTAAAACTTTCTCCCTCTTTCTGACCTAGAGTATGTTTCATTGGCTCAACTGCTCCAGGGCATGGACCCTATTTGGGTAACAGTAACCAATGTCACTGAACAATTTGTGTAGAAATTGTTGAATGGAAACCTAATCTCCTAACCTGCTGTGTAAACTGTTACTGAAAATACAATAAAATATTATTTAAAAAAAAAATCTTGGGTGAATAAAAAAAATTTTTTTTTCTGTAGATTGGAAGTGACCCTCAGGCTACCATTTTGTAACCTCTGGTATATGTCTTTCCATCTCTTTGTTTGTGCAGGAAACTCCCTAACCTTTCCTTAAAAATAATCCCAAACAAAGAAACAAACAAAACAACAACCACAGCAAGTAAAAGTTAAGAGACATTACTCTGGCCATAGTACTAGAGATCAAAATTGCACTGAAATATTTTTTCACTGCTTTTTTTTCCTTTTAATTCTCACTGTGGATTGATCCCACCGTGATGCAACTAGACTAAAAATTCAGTTTGATTTGAAAAAGGGTCAGAACAAATTGATTATTACTAGTTCATATATAGCCTTCAGATATTGTGGAAAAGCCCTATAGACTAGTTTCTTCTCTGAGACTTTCTGTATTATTTCTTAAAACTGCATGTGAATCTAACAATTATCTCAAAATAAAAATTAAATTTAAAAAAGGCAAGAGAGAGAGAAGTCATGAATACCTAAAATGTCCTTATGTTCAATTATAGAAACAAACAAAAAATGTTGGGAAGTGTACACAACAGATATTAACAGTTATCTCTGAAATACAATGTATTACGGTGGAGCTTTGATTTCTTTTTGTTTGTATTTTCTGATTTTCACACAATTAATATGTGTTATTTTTCTAATAGGTACAGATACTAATTAATAACTTTAGAATAGATGTTGAATTTTAAAATAAAATAAAACTATTTCCTAACACACACACAAAAGGATGATTCTAAGCTGCTTGAGAGCCAGTTAAACTGCTAGAATGCTTCAGAGGGCAGTGACGCAGATGATAACTTACTCCGATGCCCTTACCACACACGAACAGCAGGATGTGCCAAAGACAATTTATCTGATTAACACCTTCACCTCAGAGGCTACTGGACTCGTCTGCCTCACCTCTCCTGACCTCATTCTTCATCTCTTTCATTTCTTTCCTCCCCCGCCTCTATCCAGCCACCTCTGTTCCTCTCCTTCTCACCTTCTCTGTCTTTTCCTTTCCTTTGCTCCTTCTTTCCTTTTCTCTCTCTCTTCCTCCACTTTAATTAGCCATAATTGAAAAGCAAGGTGAATTTTTAATTTGTTATATCTTCTGAAAATTGTTTTTTGTCATCATTGTAGAAAAATTAGAAAGCACAGATGAAGGAGAAAGAGGCTGTAATCCTACTACCCAGAGATAATATCACTGATAATATTTTAGTTTGTACTTATTCATATTTTTCTGTGTAAATATATCTACTCTTTACTAAAAATAAAACAAAACCAAAAAACTTGTTGTCTTCTAATTGATTCCGGCTTATGGTGACCCTGTGTGTTTCAGAGTAGAACTGTGCTCCATAGGGTTTTCAATGGCTGTGATATTTCAGAAGCAGATCAACGGGCCTTTCTTCTAAGGCGCCTCTAGGTGGATTCAAACCACCAACCTTTCAGTTAGTAGCTGTGTGAGAGGTCCAAAACTGAGACGCTTGGCTTATATCAAATTGGCTGCGCTGGGTCTGAGCCCTAATCCTATTTAGCCATTGCCTACTCCTTAGCAAGCAACTGTTAACCTTTGAGCAGACTTAATCTTGTACCTAAGGAAATGTTTTTCTCTGCAGTTAAGCTAAGGATGTGGAAACGAGGTTTCTAAAGGGAGGGTCTTGACATAAGCCCCTTATCAGAAACCTCCCGTGCAAGCAATTCTCTGGGAGTGTTTGCTAATGATGCTATCTTAGCAGAAAGTTCTCAGAAAGGAATGTCCTGTATTTGTCTTGTGACCACCCTGTAAACCCCCCTTTAGTCATGAACTTCTGTAATTATGTAATCAATGTAAGAAGCCCACATATACACTTTATACCAATCGTTTTAAAGCCCTCTCTTCAAGTTGTCCCATCTCTGCTTCCCTGACTTTGTAACTTCCAATCAGAATATTGTACCATTAGTTCCTGATTTTACCCTATAAATGTGCCTCTGTAACTCCACCACCTGGGAGCGTTTAGTTTCACTTTGTGAACCTTTTCATTTCCTCAGTTTGACCTGTTCTCATTCTTCAATAAATCTCCTCTTTACTGTTATTTTAACAGAGTATGTGTTCTTACTCTTTGACATAGCTGAGCGCTCAATGTTTGCACCACCCAGGGACTCCTCATTAAAAATATAGATATATACTATAATATAAATACTATTTTATAATTTGTTTTTTCACCTACGTCAATATAGAAAACTCTATAATTGTTTAAGTTGCCTAGCACTATATTGTATGGATGTACCATAACGTACTTAGCCATCTTTTGTTCCTGGACATTTACTTTGTTTTCAATTGTTTTGCTGTTATATATAAACAACCCTGTAAAGAACATCTTTTCGTACTTGTCCAATTATTTCTTTAGGAGAAATTCCTAGAAAAGAAATTAATGCTCAAAGGTATTCACACATTTTAAGACTTTCTATACTTATTGTCAAATTGCCCTCCAAAAAGGTTGCACCAAATAACTTTGCCTCCTGCAGTGTATGAGGCTGCCCATTGCCCCAATCCTTATGAACACTGGTATTATCATTACTTTCAATCTTTGTTGTATCTTTTGAGTATAGATTCATTTTCCTTGCTCTTAATTTTAAAAGCAGATAATCTGACTGTTTAATATTTTGATCTCTTAAAAATACTAAAATAAGTTGCTTTTTACCATTGTGTGGCTTTCAATAATTTTCTTTTCCTTGGGTCAGGGCCCCTGATAGAAATAAGGTTCCCCATCGCTGTTCTACATCTACCCTTGCCTCCATCTCTGTCACTTCTGTCCTTGGACAGGTATCCCTCTGTATCCCACCCCACATTCCACTAGTGCATTAAGAAGTCCAAATCTTAGGTACCAGCTGCAAAGTATAAGTTCAGTTATAACTATTCCATTTCTGCCAATATTTCCATAATCATCATCATCACCATTCAACATCTATGATTACTTTACAGTTTCCAAAGGGATTTCTTATACATTAACTCCTCACAATTGTCCTATGAGTTAAGTACGGCAGACATGAGTCTGGGCTTTGTAGTATAACAGACCTGGATTGAAATTTGAATGTTGATCCTGGACAGTCACTAAACTCCTCTGAGCTCATTCTCCTTATCTGTAAAGTGGAAATAATAATACATCAAAAGGTTGATGAGAGGTCTAAATAACATATGTAGAGATTTAAGTGCAGTCCTATTATTGATAAGTGAAATAACTGAAGCCTAGAGAACTCAAGGGATTTGTACAAGTCACATTCAAGCCCAGGTATTCTGACCCTAAATCTTATTTTTTTCTCTTTTCAGTGTGAGATATTTCAGACATAGAGAATTATATAATGAATACCCTGTACCCACCACTTGGCTTTAAAAAAATTATAGAAATAAACTGAAGCCTCCTGTGTGTCTTTCTCTGATCACATTCTCCATCCTCCCTTCCTTCTCCTTCTCCCCCTGTCCCCACCAACACTTAGTATTGTCAGACTTTAAAATTTTGACAGTCTGATGGATGTGAAATGTTATCACATTATGGTTTTAATCCCAGGTAACCACTATCCTGAATTTGGTGTTTATTGTTCCCATGATTTTTCTATACTATACGGTCACTCTGAGTCGAAATTGACTCAATGGCACACAACAATAACAACTTCATATTTGTGTATCTATGAGCAACTTTGGTATTCTACATGCTTTGGAACTTTATATAAACAGTATCATTATGCATATAATTCTGAAGCTAGGTTTGTTTTTATTTTGTTTTTTTTACTCAAAAGTTTTTGAGATTTAACCATGCTAATACATGTAGTTCTGGCTCATTTATTTTAACCTCAGTTTAGTATTCCATTATATGAATATACCACAACTTTATTATTCATTCTCCTGCTAATGGAGATTTAAATTATTTCTAATTGTGGTGCAATGGATCGCTTTTATATGGCCTTTCTCATCATGATCTTTTAACTCCCATCAAATGATTGGGTGGGACTATGCAGATAAGGTGCTTGTGGCCCACCAAGGGGATTGGAGAGTTTGTTAATAATTCATATAAGATGCATGGCACCCTTGTGAGGGTGGGACCATGCAAATAAGGTCTATGGAACCCTAATGAGGGGATTGGTCTGCTTTGCCATCCCACTAGGCTTAAAATGAGCCACCCCAGAGGTGAGAAGAGGGGGGACCTCAATACCACCAAGAAGAGATGGGAGCAGAGCACATTCTTTGGACCCAGGGTCCTTGCACTGAGAACCTCCTACACCCAGCAGACAGACAGAGAGAGACAGAGAGAGCTGTAACACTGGGGATGGTGCAAGATAGCAAGAAGTGGTGGCAGAGAACCAGGGGTCTGGCAGGAGACAGAACAGTGGGTTTCCCCGGCCCATGGAGCAAGGTGTGTGCCGACTCACAGAGTGAGAGAGCTCAGCATCTTCCGACAGGAGGATTCCTGGTGGAGTAGGGTGCCTCCAGGCACTTATTGGAGGAGCCAAAGAGCTTTGTAACACTTGCCCAAGCAGGGCAGAGGCCAGGCTGAGGGGGGCCTGCCTGTAGGCACAGCTGAGAAGAGGCTGTCCTGATCGAATAACTGTATCCTGAGTCGTTCCTGATCCTAAATTGTAACATGTTACTTCCCCAATAAACCCCATAATCATGAGTATGGTTTGTGAATTCTGTGTGGCCATTACAACGAATTCTCAAACTCAGCAGAGAAGTAGAGAGTGCCACGGGAGAGCCGGCTGGTGTCACAATCGGTGAAAGACTGGAGGGTGGAGGTATGTCTGACCTCCATCTCCATAGCAACCAGCCTTGGGCTGTTGTTGCTGATAAGGATTCTTTTCCCTTGTGAAGTTAGACAAGGAGGTCAGACAACCTGCTGCTGCCGTGCCATTTTTACACCAGTTTTATGCTATGACAATGATGCAATGAACATTCTCACATGCGTCTCCTTGTAAACAAGAGCAAGACTTCCTCTAAGATAGTAGAATTCTTAGCTCATAAGATGTGAGCAGATTCAGTTTTGCTGGATAGTGCCAGTTTTCCAAAGTTGTTGTATTAATGTATATTCCCACCAGCAGTGTGTAAGAGTTCCTATTCTTCCTCATATTCACCAACACTTAGTATCGTCAGACTTTAGAATTTTTGATAATCTGTTGGGTGTCACATGTCATTGCATTATGGTTTTAATTTGCATTTATCTGATTACTAGTGAGACTAAAGATGTTTTCATATGTTATTGGTCATTCTGTTTTCTTCTTCTGTAAAAAGCCTATTCATATTCTTTGCTTTCTTTTATATTGGGATATTTTTATTTTTGTTATTGATTTGTGGGAGTTCTTTATATACTCAGGTTGCTAAACTTTGGCTTGTTATATGTGTTTCAAATATTTTCTCCCAGGCTTTTGCTTGTCTGGTTGTTTATAAAGACTTTTATTTTATTTGTTTATTTTTAAAATTTTATTGTTCTTTAGGTGAAAGTTTACAGCTCAAGTTAGTTTCTTATTCAAAAATTTTATTTATACACATATTGTTTTGTGACATTGGTTGCAATTCCTGCAATGTGACAGCACTTTCCCCCTTTCCACCCCAGGATCCCCATGTCCATTCATCCAGTTTTCCTGTCCCTTCCTTCCTTCTCATTTTGCTTTTGGGCAGGAGTTTCCCATTTGGTCTTCTATATTTGATTTAACTAAGAAGCACGTTCCTCACGTGTGTTATTGTTTGTTTTCTAGGCCTGTCTAATCTTTGTCTGAAAAGTGGACTTCTAGAGTGGCTTCAGTTCTGAGTCACCAGGGTGTCCGGGGGCCATAGTCTCAGGGGTTCCTCCAGTCTCTGTCAGACCAGTCAGTCTGGTCTTTTTTGTGAATTTAAATTTTGTTGTACATTTTTCTCCCACTCTGTCTGGCACTCTCTACTGTGATCCCTGTCAGAGTGGTTGGTGGTGGTAGCCAGGCACTATCTAGTTCTTCTGGGCTCAGGCTAGTGGAGGCTGTGGTTCATGTGGTCCTTTAGTCCTTTAGGCTAATATTTTCCTTGTGCCTTTGGTTTCTTCATTTTCCTTTGCTCCAGGCGGGATGGGACCAATAGATGTACCTTAGATGGCCGCTCCCAAGCTTTTAAGACCCCAGATACTATAGAGACTTCTAATGTAAAGAAGTTTTAAATTTTACTGTAGTCAAATGTATCAGTGTTTTCCTTTTAAGGTCATACTATTTCTATCATATTATATCACATCTCCATGTCATTCTATGACCCATTAAGACAGCCTTTCCCCCTCAGCCCTGACAGGTCACCTCTTCCTCCTTTGCCTGCAGTGTTTGTCATGTTGTCGTTTGACTTTTGCTACGGCCATGATGATTTGGATGTGATTGATCTGCTGTTCTGCAAAGATCTGAATATACAGGCCCAGCAAGTGGTCCCGGCTGAGCCTTCCAACCTCCCAGAGCCTCTTGCACTCCTGCAGGAGTGATTGCTGCACAAGCGGGGGGACAATGCCTATCGCTCCACCCTGCAGCTACTGAGCCCAAGTCCTGGGCAAGATTTCCACGGAAGATTAAGAGAGGGAGCTAAAGAAGAACAGAGGAGGTCCCTGTTTATTCTGTTTTCTGACCTCTTTCTGGTCCCCCAGATGGTTGTCAACCTGCCCTGTTTAGTGACACTGCAACCAGGTCCTGAAGACTCAAGAAAGGTGAAGTCTGGGTTCTGAGAAAGAGGAATCAATGAGCAGTGCTGAGGAGGAGGCAAAGAGGGACAAATGGACAAGATTGGAGAATTGGACAGTTAAGGGATAAGGTCTGGCATTTCCTTATGGGCTCATGAGGAAGGAAAGGCACTGTTGGAAATTACTTCTCTTTGCTCCTGCCTCTTTACGGACCTGTGGGGTTGACTTTGATGTGAAGAGTTTCTGTGCTGAAAACCTGGAGGAGAAAATCCCCAAGAGGTATTACTTGACACCGTCCTCCCCAAAATCCCTGCCTCCAGCCTGTGCCAGGACAGAAAAAGCCCTACTTCTAACCTCTGTAGCACCATCACCAACAAATCAGATGTCCAGTTCTGATTCCTCTCTGACTTCTTTCTTTTGCTCTAGAGCAGAGGTTGGCAATTTTTTTCTATAAAAAGCCAAATGATACATACTTTAAGTTTTACGAGCCATATAATCTCTGTTGCAACTACTCAATTCAGCCATTGTAGTGTGAAAGAAACCATAGATAATACATAAATGAATGAGTGTGGCTGTGTTCCAATAAAATTTCATTTATGGACACTGAAATTTGAATTTTATATAATTTTCACATGTCACAAAATATTATTGTTCTTTGATTTTTTTTAACCACTTAAAAATGTAATAGCCATTCTTAGCTCGCAAGCCATACAAAAATAGGCAGCAGGCCAGATTTGGCCAGTGGGCCATAGTTTTCCAATCCTTGGTCTAGGTACCTATATTAAGGGTCTGCAGGAACTTTCTGAGGGAAGCCACCACCCTCCAAGCAAGGATTGGACTATGGGGTGGCATGGGAGATATCTGTGGGCCCCTGGGCCTCTACTCAGGGACTCCATGCGGCCGATGGTCAGGAAAGTGCAGTTTGTGCCCCTTCGGTCAGCTCAGCCCCTGCAACTTCCAGGCCTGGATGGATAGGGAAATCTGTGACCCCCACTTTCTGCCCTTCACCCTAGAATCCCTCTGATACCCTTTATTCACTGATTTCCTACTTACATAGGCAAGGATAGAAGCCAGGGTGGCAGTAGTACTAAGCAAACAGGAGTTCTAGGTCTTGATTTGGGTGTTCTCTCTCTGCCTGTTTCAGTTCACTTCATGGCGAATCTGTCTCTCTATCAGTGTTTCTGTCAACAACTGAACCAAGAAGATCATAAAAACAAATCAAGGTCTCAGGAGATCTTCTTTTCTAATCCTCCTGAACCTGGTCCCAAATCTACAGGTCTCTTTCCAAAACTCTGCCCCAGTTACCCAGTCTGCATTCGTCTAGGCTTTCCCTCCAACACAGGTTTATTATTAAAATACATATCTTTGTTTGTCCATAAGAACATCTGAGTGTAGTCATGTACAGTGTGTCTCTGTATAATGCCTAGTTGTGAGACAGATGCCCTACAGTGTTTTTTTTGGTCAAAATATGTGTTTATTTTAAGGCCAGTGAGTTTGGTGTCTCCGGGATGACTGACTGACTCTAGTCATGTGCGTTTCCTGGATTGTTTGGTTGTCCAGATCACAGATGTTGTCCTGTATTCACCTAACAAGTACCCCAAGACTGTGTTCACTGAGGCTTTCACATGAGCTGGTGCTGGGGTGGGGGTCAGAGAGCCAAGGGGGCGGGGTAATTAGGAAGAGGGCCAGGGGGCTGAGGCAGAGGAGGGGAAGAAGGAGGCAAGAGTGGGGACTGGAGAAAGAAGGAAGGAGGTAAGTCTTGAGAGACCAGGACTGAGGGAGGTCAAGGTGAGGGCTCAAGTGGAGAAGGGAAGGGATTCACAGGCGAACTAGAGGGAGGAGGACCCAACTTACTCATAGGTGGATCATCGAAATGCTGAGAGAAGGCAGGGCATGAGGATTTCCCACCAGAGCCAATTACTCCCACTCGCCACAGTTAGACATGTCAGCTCTCTTGGATACTGCCATAGATTCTTGGGATTGTGTGGAATACGCTTGGGAGTGAAACTACACTTAGTTGGCAAGCCTAGCCTAAGTTCTTCTCATCTTCTTTCAAAAGCAGACTATAGCTATTAACTCCAGCTTCTCCCAGAGCTTTGCCTCACTCCTGGCTTCCAACTTTCAGAAACAGGGCCTGGCACTGGATGGCAAGCTCAAGTATAAACATACCAATCTGACCTCCAGCATGATGTAAGCTCAAATGTAACTCCCAACCTCCATTTCCTACCCTCTACCCATTCCATATGCTATATATACAGCTCTGAGATTTCACCCTCTGTGAAGCCTACCTATTTTTTTTTTTATTGTACTTCAGGTGAAGGCTTACAGAACAAATAGTTTCTCATGAAACAGAAGTACACATGTTATTTTATGACATTGGTTAACAACTCCACCACATATCAACCCTCTAACTTCTCAACCTCTTTTTTTTTTTTTGGTGAAAATACACATAGCCAAAGATACAACATTTCAAAAATTTCTACATG